TACTTATGCACCCTCATGCCGAACTATGCGGAGTGCAGACAGAGTTGAACAAATTGAACTATCCATGTATTACAGCTTCAAAAATTCTCTCTCATTTGTGTGTTTCAAGTGTATTGGAATATAACACCATATTTCATAAAATAAACGATAATATTTTTTCAGATTTGTTAAAAAAGTGCGTTTTTTGCCACAATTTGTGCCTTTTTCAAACGCTTGTTTAATTCAGCTGAAAATGATCTTTTGAAGCGAGTTTTTGTTTTGTTTTAATGCTACTAGTTATATTGTGGAAGCATACCTTAATTCTGATTAAACACCACTGTGTGTCGACTATGTTCAAGCGACAAATACAAATATGCCAGATATATCTTCTTGTAATTATGCAAAGATCTGATTTTATCGAAGGTATAACCGAGTTTTTGTTTGTTTTTTGTCTTTTTATTTTTCTTATCTGTAGTAGTTAGTACGTTAGTACCATTGTGACAGGCGTGTTTGCGCGGGTGTGTAGATGTTTACAGATGTGAACTATAGGTATATACTTAGGTACTTGATTGTGGGTGTGGATATTGAACTGTTCTTCACTGACATTCAGATCAACACACATACTCACACCAACATTCACATACCTTCTAGTAGTCTGTTCATATTGTCACCAAGTTTTTATACATTCAAAAGCTAGATAATGGTTTTCAGGGTGTCGGTGGGTGTGGACTATGGATGTCTTGTTCTACACGCATCTACGCCCACACCAAAAATTTCTTAAAATCCTTCTTTTTGGGACCTCCTCGCTGCGACCCTTACGGATTGAAAATTTTTGGATCCAATGAGCTCTAATCATCTGAAAAATGTGTAGAGTCCGCTAGTCGCTGAATACAAAACACCGGAAAAAAAATTCGTATCTTTGCAGCAACTATCGTGATTAGAAAATTTCATTGAGAGCATCAAAACACAATTCGACTAAGTCTGGACCTGAAAGTTTTGAGCTCGATGGGCTCTATCATTCACATATAAAAAAAAAATATTGATTAGAGATTTGCCAGGTAGGAATTAGAAAATTTTTCTCAGTCATGGTACGAAAAGAAATCTTATCCTACACACTTTTAATATTGATTATTTCCATAAATTTGATCTGATCAAAATACACTTCCAAAACTCAATCACATTTGTCTTGTTTATCTCATTGAAAAAAATTCTGAATATGAAATAAATTCAACATCTTTTATATTGTTTTAGTCAATATCAGCAAGTTTAGATTCTCCGCAAATCCACCCCTAGCGCTACAATCTTTGTAATATTATAATTTAATAAAGTGAATAGTTGCGATATATATGTTTGTTTTTATTGCTAGATTTGCCAAAGAGAAAGAAAAAAAGGAAGTCTATTTTGATTTTATTTTTTCAAAATAAATTTTGTCATTATGTTCGACGAATTAACTGCACTTCTTGATGATACAAATCGTACATCACATGGATCAATTCTTATAACAAGTTATGATTTTGATTCGAATTTTTTATTACAACATTTTTTAAGTTATTCATTAAAAAATGCTTTAAATTGTGTTTATATTAGTTTATTAACACCATTTTCTCATCTTAAACATGTTCAAAATAAAATGGGTAATATATTAAAAACACCAGAAATATCAACATCATCTACTCTTATGTTTATTCCACTTTTTTCATCATTATCTGATCAATTTTTTAACGATAAATCATCATTGAATATTGATGAGCTTTGTACAATGATTCAACAACAAGTTATTGCATCACCCGATATAATTATTATTGAAGATTTACAAATCTTACGTCATTTATTAAAATTTTCTAATAAAGAAATATTACTTATGCAAAGAAAATTACGACAAATATATTCTAAAGCACAATTTATTACTCAGATATCTATATCTGATGATGAAAGCGATGATGAAAATTTTTCATCATCATTTATCAATATGCTTAAAAGAATACATCATAAACATTTATTTGTTCGAAGTTTAACTACTGGAGCTACAAAAGATATAAGTGGACAAGTAAGATATCACTTTTTCTTTGTTAAAAAACAAAAATATTCAACAGTAAGGCTTCTATCTTAATGAAACTAAAACAAATTAGTACATGTTCTATACCTACAAAATCAATTTTCGAAAAAAAGAGCACGTTTTTCATGAATAACGAAAGTCAGACGGTTTATGCGTTTATATACACCGGTCAAAATCGCAGTTCAAGTTAAAAAAAACTTACATCGAAATGCGGTTATCTCTGTTTTTACTGCGATGTGGTTTTCATCGCTGTGTATAGATGCATAAATGGTCTGACCTCCGGAGTTAACCGTGGTTTTATTAAAAAATCTTTTTCATAGGTACACGAAGTATCCTAAGGACGAACTTAACTGTTTTATGACGGAAGTGTTTATTTCCCTGTCAAGAAAAAGCAAAAGGTTTTCAAAGTTTGGATTTGCGTTTCGAACATCATTGCATTTCACAGACTGTTTCAAGTTGTCAACACGAAACTTTTATTTGAATTAGCATATATCATATTTATAAAGCATTTTTATAAACAAATAATTTCAATATTGTAGAGATTACAGTGTTTTAATCAACGTGACGGCTGAGATCGAATTAGCCCTTTTGAAAGAGAAAATATAAATAAAATATTGAGCAGTGCGAATTTTCTGGGTGAATTTAATTTGTGTTTCATCTTCAGAAAAATTCAAATATTAGGTTTTTTTCTATAAGTCGCTCTCGGGAATAAAAAAATACTCTTAATTAATTCATTTTTTGAAAAATTAGAACTCTAATTAGGATATTTGCATTAAAATCTGCCTAATTTTCAAGGTTTTCAGCTAAACATCTTAACAGACTCTAGATATATAGAAAATTAAGTTAGAAGTGAATTAAACTGTTATTCATGCCTGCGTGTCATATGTCTGATGAAGACAACAAGGTTAAAATAACAAAACATTTTTCTATTTGAGAACACTTTGAAGGTCTCCGTTAGATTTCACTGTCTTTCAATGAATAATTTATTAATTAATATTTTTATTTTTAGTTAACATATACTGGTCCATCTCAATCAAGTCTATGGACAAATATAATTATTCGTAAATGTTTATTTCGTTTAACAGATCGAACATTAAATTTAATAACTAGTGCTGTTTAAAAAAAACATATTGGTTATTTTTTTTTTGGCGTTTTTTTTTCTTGTTATTTCATAATATTTCGTTTATTTTAGATGAGTGATAATGAAACATATTTATTTGAATTAGATGATGATTTATCAGAAAAAGATTGGAATGGTTCCAAACGATCAATATGTTCTCGTTGTGAACGACCGGAATTAGTTTGCCTTTGTACACATTTACCTTCATCACCTATTCATCTTGATCATACATCTGTTGTTGTATTTCAACATCCAAATGAAATAAAACGACCATTAGGTACTGTACAATTATTATCGAAATGTCTTGATTTATCATCCTTAACTGTCGTACGTGCAAGACAATTTCCACGAAAATATTATTCTGATATATATACAAATCCAAATACATATTTACTTTTTCCTAATGCAAATGCTGTTCTATTAGATGATATTATTAATGAAAGTGATCATTATACAATTATTGCACTCGATGGTACATGGAATGAAGCTATGGGTATTTATCATCGTCATAGTGAATTACAAGAATTAAAAACATGTTATGTTAAAATTGATCAAAAATCTGAATTTGTTATTCGTACTCAACCAACAAAAGAAACAACATCAACATTAGAAACAATAGCATATGCATTAAAATGTACAGAAAAAGATAAACCAACATTATTTGATGATATTGTTCGACCATTAAAACGTATGGTGGAATTACAATTAAATTTAGGTGCTGTTGTACATGAAGCAAAATTAAGTTTAATTGAAAGTGGTCAAACACGAAGACAATATAGTAAAAAACATGAAAGATGGCTTATGACACTTCAACATTAGAAAAAAAAAGAAAAAGAAACAATAAATTTTTAGTTTTATTTTCAGATAAAATGTTGAACATCATTTGTTTTTTTTTTTTGAATACGATTCAAAAATGTGTTTTTTTATATTATTAATAAGAAACAAAGATCAACGAAAATATCTGGTGTTTAGTAAAATTTTTGTGAACACTATTGCAACTTTCAATAAAATAAAAACGCATAGTTTAATGCAAAATAATGAATAATGTCTAGAATAATTGCTTATATACTATGAGAAACATGGCGAATGTGTTCATGTGAGAACTTTAATTTCAAAAAAGAAAAACAAATCACGCTGTGAAAGAATTTTAACTGTTAAGGGTCACAGAAATTCCTCGGAAAAGTAAACGCAAAATATAAAAAATGAACCAATTTCGAAATTGTATATAAATTACAACATAACCAACTGATCACAGAAAAAAACATAGACTTTATGTCTGTGTTGTAGAACAAATTAATGATGATAGAGACATTTAGTTTTTCCTTGAGCATAGTGCAAGAACACTGTTTTGTACTTTGTGATAGAATTGATTGACTTTTCATGAGAAAAAAAAAATCATCTTAGGTAACCATAACAATCTTCTACCTATACTTTCATCGCCTTCTATGGTACTGAAGTCTTAATTGAATAGAAAGAACCTACTAAAATAAGAATTCGTCATGCTTTTTACAACAACAATGTGTAATATTCTGTTTCTACGTACAAATCCATTTACAACAACATAAGAAGAAAGAGAGAAAAACTTCCAGACATTATAAAAAGAAAGCGAAACGTGACGCAGTGTATGAAGTAATGTTGCAGTTTTTTTTTCATGCGCTTGTTTTCTTGTGACACCAGAGACAGTAACCGATAAAAACAAGGAGTGGAGCAGTTAAGCGAAACGACAAAAAAAGAACTTGAACGACAACAATAATCAAAAACAAATAGAAAAAATTCCAATATAATATATAAATTCAAGTCATTTTATTTTTTTTTCATTGAGCAAACAAGACATACCATGGACAAAAGGAAAAAGTCAACAACAACTGCTGCTGCTGCTGTCATACCACCTAAACATTCGAGTATAAGGCAACGAAGGTCTGGTTATGCTCGTCTGGTTCGACAGCAGCATCGATCCAGAAAACAACCCAGATCAGTACAATCTTTATTTTTTGTGGAAATCAAGCTTGGTATGAACAATGCGCCAAACAATGACCAAAAATGAAAGGGACTTTTACAGATATTGCTCTCATCTGTAATGCCCTTCAACAAGCGACTCAAGAGTGTGACAAAAGCATGATTTCGATCAGTTTTGTCACTAACTGTAATGAAACTACTAGAAAAGCATAGATCAGTTAGATTCTTCTTTTATGTACACGCAGATTATGAAAGAAATTCTATTAACCATTGATTTCGAATAAAAACACTTGGATGAATTAATTATTTATTATCAAGAGGTTTTTGCCGGCAATTCATATGAACTTCATCATGTCAAAACACTCGAACAAGAGTATCGCAAGCATCTCCCGATTTGGTGGTATACCAACCAATGTTTTTTGTATTCAGTGTTCAATAGATCATTACGAATGATGGAGATCGATCTGATCATAAGCATGAGAGTTTTCATCCGAGATCTGTACAACCAAATCGCCAAGCTTCATAAGAAACAATATCTTGAACATGCACAGACGAAACCGTTTATTGCTTATCGTGGTCAAGGACGATCGAAGGTCGACTTCGATCAAATTCTAAAGAGACCAGGTGGACTTTTATCATTTAATAACTTTTTATCGACTAGTTTGCACCGTGAAGTATTCTTCAAATTTGCTCGCGAAACTATGGAATCATCCGATCTTGTAGGTATTTTATTCTCTATGAAAATAGATCCACCCATTGTCTCAACATCATTTGCTAATGTCCGTGGTGTGAGTTATTTCGAAGGAGAAGAAAAAATTCTCTTCTCCATGCATTCCATTTTTCGAATTGGTTCAATGAAACAAATCGATGGAAATAATCGTCTCTGACGAATCAACTTAGCATTGATTAGTGACAATGATCCAGAAAGGATGGGATCTTTTGGGTATGTTGCTAATTAAACTGGGGCAGTTCAACGAGGCCCAAGAGATATATGATATCCTGCTTGATCAAGCAACGACTGATCGTGAAAAATCATTAATTTATCACCAGCTCGGATGGATGAAGGAGGATCAAGGTAAATATGCAGGTGCCATTGCCTATTATAAAAAATCCATTGAAATCGACAAGAAGACTGTTACCAACGAATGCCGATTTAGCTGCTTCTTACAACAGCATTGGCTGGGTTTATAGGAACATGGGTGGCTGTTCGAGAGCACTTATATTTTATGAACGTGCTCTTGACATTAAATAACGTTCACTACCTCTAGAGCATTCTAGTCTCCAACATGTAAGAAAGAGCATTGATATGGTAAAAAAGAAAATTTAATGGATTTTTGTTTTGTTCGAAGAAACAAATGTAATGGAAGGAAAAGAGTATTTGTATTCTTTATTTGGAGAGAGATACGTGTACATGTACAGAGAAACTTTGTCTGATTGAGAACGCAATGGGATGATGCTGCCCAGCGGTGAGATAATCGATATGTTTAAATGATGGACGAGTATTGTAAATACAAGATCTTCGCACTATAGTTTGTGTTTGAATAAGTAGAGCTTCTCTGTGACGAATATAGAGCCATCACAATAATTCATTGCATGAAGAAAAGAAAAAACGAAAGAGAGCGCTCATAGATTGAATGATTTATTTCTATCTATAGTTGAATTACTATTACATTTGGAACAAAAACAGTAATTCAACTATGCTTAAAAATCATTTTGTTGACGAAAGAGAAAAATAATCGTTTGAATATATAAAAAATGATAACTTTATATACGATTGGAGATAATTGTACTTGTTTTGGAATGTGTGTGAGAGTATACATAAACAGCAGTTATACCTAAAATCATTCTCTTTTTTCTCGCACTTCAACTTCGGGCGAATAAATTTCTTTTATGTTCAAACCAGTCATTTCATACACAGCTAAATATTACTTTTATCTGCATCCAAACATATTCGTCGTTTGGCGTGGTGTTATCAACAATATATCAGAAAACAGCTAGCGTATCTAATAATTATCTATTTGAATACATTCTTGCAAGGTTAGTAGATTATTATCGAATAACTAAAAACTTTCTTTTATTTAGATTTAATTAAAATGCAACATCTATTACTGTTTTTCGAAAGAACAAGCAGGAGTCTACTGGGTTCTTGGGCTAGCTCGTATTTTCACTGGTCGAAATCTTGTATCCTAGATTTCGATAGAACTCTGTTAACGCATACATTCCTACGAAATTCGGTATTCTTCGTTGCAAGTAGTATTATTTGGACGAAAATAAAACTATTATCGGTAAAAGTCTAGACTATGAAAAGTCTTTTGTGTTTACGGTCATATACGAGGAGCACTTTTTTAAGCTGTAAAAATACTGTATTCGAATCCTATACAATCACTGTAACAAAGTACCTCGCTTTATACGTTTTCTAAGAGTACATGCTGACTTCACAGTTGATCGAAGGTCAAATATAAATGCTTCTACAAGCTTATTTCGTACATCAATTAATGTTGTTGTTCGTCTCTGTGCTTGGCTATGATGCAATAGTCCACACATTTTGTTTATACACTGCAGCATGATTTGTACGAATATTAATTCGTTTCATTATCGTTTCAAATATTAAAAGATTGAAATAGGATCTCACATTTATAATTGTAAAAGAATGAAAACAAAACATTTATCTATGCAATATTCAAATAATAAATAGTTTATCTATTGTTATGTAAGGAGAATCTCTTCTGATTTAAATATATAAAGAAATGAATGCATTATAGTACAATAATAATTCATACATTGATTAGTTCAGAGTTTCTATATGAAGTAAGCAACACTTCTTTAGTGGCAGATCAAGGGTTTTTCTAATGAAGGAGGAAGGGATTACAATCATAACACATTGTTTTGAAGATCATTAGAGGCAATATCAGCTCTTTTTTAAGCCTTTTGTGCCAGGAAAAACCCGAAAAACTGTTTTGAAATTGGAGATGATTGTCTCTAGCTCCGTCGTCCTAAATCTGCGACTTCATTTCTTTCCACCAGATTTCACATCACAGAATCGTGTATGCTTCTCTAAATATTTTAAATAGGTACATTATAAGCAACGACATCTTTCGAAAAAAATATCAACGTCGGTTGTTTAGCTACAAGAATGAAATTTATTTTTTAAATATTTATCAGTCTATTGATTATTAAAATGACTGGAAGAGGTCGTGGACGTGCTCCTGGGGAATATATTAATTTACCTTCAAATGCAGCAGCTGATGTTGATGCTTATTTTGAATATCGAGCGTATGATATTTAGATTTGAATTATAGTCTTTCTTTTTTTTTTCTTCTTTTTGATAGTATTGTTGGCGATGATGATGAAGGAAAAGTATTCACCCCTGAAGAATATGACGAATATAAGAAAAGAGTTTTACCAATGGTAAGAATTTATATGTTTTAATTCCTTTTTTTTTTTTGTTTTATTATCGTTTACAACTAAAATAAAAATTAGAATTTTGAAAAATTTAGATTTAACCAGAGAATCTAATTTCTCAACAATAGATTTGTAAGGGTATGTTAAAATATTCATGCATGATAATGGCATTATTTTTTATTGTGGTATCGATTTTTCTGCATGAGATGTCTTGTTCCTTTGTATTAATATATAATACTTATGATGTAAACGAGTCCGCTCGATTTCTTAGATACACTATGAAGTATAGATTCATTCTTATCGTGCTATGCGCATGATTAAGATTATTTTTATTATGATAGTTTCATTTGGAATTATGAATGAGCGATTTATATATCAGCCAAAAGATGAAAATAATCTAAATACATCAGATTGGCGACCTGATCTGTCAACAGATCAAGCAGTCCAAAACCTATACAGGTTTTATCTCTAGATAGTTTCATTTACTGTAGTCGATAACTAAATAATTCACTGCAGTCAAAACAAGCATGGGATAGTCTAATGCATTTTTGCATTATAGATTGATAACAAACTGTCAAAGTTTGTTTAGAAATCAGTTAAATCTTATAATCTTGTTAGTCAAGTATGTTTTGTATATTTTCGTTTCTTTTTGTTGTTGTTAAAAATTATTATTGACAATGCGAAAGCTAAACAAAGTTGAATTCGATTTTTATACTATTCGTTAAGAGACACAGATCGACAAGTCTTGTTGACTATCATAGAAATAAAATCATTGAAATTTTTATGAAGAAAATCGATTTGCAATCTTATTTAGCGTCTTCATAATCGATTATATGTTTCATGGGTTAGTCCTCAAGGAATGGATTGTATTCTAATTGGACCACAACATAAATGTCTTTGTCGACATAAGTAAATTTTGTTTTTCTTCTTCGAAATAATAATTCATAGAATATTTCTTTACATTCAGATTTACTGAACATAAAACAGATTTTTCTGAAATTCCTACTGAACGGCCAATACTTATTTCATGTCGTCAATCAGGTTGTCGTTGTGTTTCATTTGCATATGTTGCTAATGCATCGGGTACAAGTGATCCAAATTGTCGTTGTAAACATTCCCTTGATAATCATACAACAAAACCACCTTATAAATGTCAAAAAAGTATTCGGACATTTTTTTGTTTTCTGGTTTTTATTTACAACAAAAAAAACATTTGACTGTTTAGTTTTGTTTAGATTGTAATTGTACCGGATTTTCTGCTCCGTTTACATGTACATGTGGTGAACCAGCAAATAAACATATAACTCTAGTTGAAACAAAAGAAGAAAGAGAAAAACGTGACCATCCAACTGGTTATGCAACACCATATCAAGCAATGGGTGGTTTAACAGGATTTAGTTCATTAGCTGAAGGTTATTTACGATTGGATCCTAGTGGACGAGGTACATAAGAAAATGCTTTTTTCTTTCTCATAAATCAAAATTGAGAATTTTCATATATAAATAGGTCGACCAGATGATGATTTTCTTAATCAACCAATAACTGCAATGGATCATCCAATTCTTCGTGCACATGCATCTCATGAACCTAATAGTAAACAAAAACAATCATGGTCTTAATTCAAAAATTTATTAAACATTTATTTTCTTTTCAAAGGTGCAGAAGCACAATCACAATTAAGACGTGTCGGAGAAACTGAATTGGATTATTATGAACGACGTTATCAAGAACGAGTAAATACATAGAAAATATTTGTTTGTTTTTAATTTCATTCATTTTTATTAAGCAACGTCTTTCACGTGGCATACGTGCAGCACCGAATCCATATGATGCTGATGCTAAATTAACAACTGGCATACGAAATGATAAATCACCACCACGTCGTATTACTGGTAGTAAAAAATAAGACGCACTCAAATGTTCAATTTTTTTTGATTGGTTAGATTCCTTTTAAACGAATTCCGTGTATATATACATATATATATATGAATTGAGTTAATAAAAAAACACATAATAAATAAAACGATGCATAGAACATTGATTCTTAAGTACAAGCGTAAAATTTCATTATGAAGTTATGACATACTCAAAGAACTAACAACAGAGTACTTCAAGTCGACAACAAGCTAAAAGAACATTTCTAACATTAGTTTTTATTCTATTAATTGTGATTATTTTCTAGACTGTAGTGCGAGAAATACACATAACAGTTCAAATAATTATGAATAAGAAAAAGAATAAAACTACAGAAAAATAATTAGATCTTGTTTAGATTACTTATGATAGTTTGTATATGTTTTTTTGCAAGGAATACAAAGAGATATATAGACAATTGAAACTATCTTCGTTTTCATTTCAAACAAGAATTTAATTGTTTTATTAAATTAATATAAAAATAAATGAACAATGAACTCTTTAAAAAGCATCATTTTTCAAAATCGTTCCCAATTCATTCATGTTTTCACTTTAAGCTCGATTATTACATGGTGACAATTATGAATGTATATATATTTCCTTTCGTTGATTTCTCAGAGCTCGTTTGTTTTTTATTATTGATTTTATTTTTATGAAGGCAAATACTCTCACGACCGAAATGATGATGTTTTTGCAAGCATTTGCAGCTTCATTCATGGATACTGTAATGATTGAGTCAGTGGTGAATGTTGAAGAAATGAGGTGATCATGATCACAAAATGTGTTTTGAAGCCCATTAGAGATTGTATTGACTCATTTTTGTGTTTTCTGCTGAGAAAATGGAAGAATATTTCAGAAGAGAGAAGGATGATCACTCATCAGTGCGCCCTCTAAACCCACCGTGGCATTAATCATGCATACGAACAACAAATTGAAATGATTATGAATGAAGAGTGAGTCTTTTTGGAATAAATTTCGATAGGAACAAGATAGAAATCTACAGTTTTCACAAAAAATCCACCTAACAAACCTATTTAAAAAATTAAAAGCTTCAATTTTCTAAAAAAATTTAGCGCGAGACTTGGCAAAAAAATAACTTGATTATTACTGTCAAATAATGATTTATCGTAAAAATGTTGTAGACAATTCTACTAAATCATTATTAAATGTTTTATTTTGAGAAAATTTTTCATGATGAAAATTAAAAACTTTATTATGTCTGAATAGAACATAACCAGCTGTTCGACAGATGACGTTAATAGTCTATCAATCGATACTAATGCCATCTATTCATTAAATATAATTTCATAGAAAATTATCTAAAAAATATATTTGTTTATCATCGAAAAATTTGTTTTCTTCAAAATAATTATTATAAAAAACGAAAATTTCTTGTTTGTTGACCTCGGCTGCCTTATTACCACCGGTATGGCTGTTTTCTCATCATAACCCATCGACAAGACGAAACATGCAAAGCAACGACACCCACACGATTCTCAATGGAAAATGATGCCTAAAAAATGGCGAATAAACAGAACATATACTAATCTGAATATTTTCTTTTGAACTTTATTCATTTTTTCTATTCTCTATTATAAATTAACAAAAATAGTCAAAATAAACAACAACAACAATTAAAATAATCTATTCACTAATTAAAATGACATTTTTTTTTCAAATAAAAATCTTGTCAAATATTTTCTTCTTGCAGATATCATAACTCCCATATCTTTTGTCAATTTTTTTTATGTATCACAGACAAAGTATGAGAGAAAAACTGATTTTTCTCTAAATAAAACCTTCTCCTCCTGTACAAATTTCAAACTTCTTATCCGCCTATATCAAACTATAAAATAAAACAAAAACAAAAAAAAAAAGAAACACTCCCAATATTTATCGAAATGAGTAGCAGTACAGCAGCAGCAGCATCAGCGGCTCCACGTAGACAACAAGTTGATAGTAAGATAATAATTATTTGTTTTTCAATCATTATTTATCGAATTTTTATTTAGATCGAACAGATGCCAATAATTTTAAAGCAGTGACAGTAGTAGCAACACGTGGTCGTGGTACTGAAATATCCGAAGAAATATCCTATACAGATACAAAAGTTATTGGAAATGGTTCATTCGGTGTTGTTTATCAAGCTAAACTTGTTCATTCCAATGAACAAGTAGCTATAAAAAAGGTTTTACAAGATAAAAGATTTAAAGTAATAAAATACATGTTGAACATATTTTTGGTTTTTTATTTATTCGAAATATTTTTCTTAAATAAAATTTAGAATCGCGAACTGCAGATTATGCGACGACTTGATCATCAAAATATTGTTCAATTAAAATATTTTTTCTTTTCATCTGGTGACAAAGTAAAATAGAAAATAAAAATATTATTGTTTTGATTTTTTTCAAATCATTTATTTTAGCTTAAAGAAGAAGTATATTTAAATCTTGTACTTGAATATATACCGGAAACGGTCTATCGTGTGACACGTCATTATACAAAACAAAAGCAAACCATTCCGCTACTTTATGTCAAAGTATACAGAAAGAAAAAATAAAACAAATAATTAATAAAAATTTTTCTTTAATTATTTAGTTGTATATGTATCAATTATTTCGTGCATTGGCTTATATACATTCATTTGGAATTTGTCATCGAGACATTAAACCACAAAATTTATTACTTGATCCAGAAACATCTATATTAAAATTATGCGATTTTGGAAGGTAATATTAAATGAATTTATTTTTTAAATATAAATTGACTTTTTTTTTTTTTTTTTTTCAATAACTTAGTGCTAAACAATTAATAAAAGGCGAACCAAATGTATCATACATTTGTTCACGTTATTATCGTGCACCGGAATTAATTTTTGGCGCTATTGATTATACATGTTATATAGGTAAAATTGATCTCTTTTGTGTTTTTATTGAGATTAGTTATGAATTTATTTATATATATAGATGTTTGGTCATCGGGATGTGTACTTGCTGAACTTCTTCTTGGTCAACCAATATTTCCAGGTGAAAGTGGTGTAGATCAATTAGTAGAAATTATTAAAGTATTAGGCACACCAACGCGTGAGCAAATTCGACAAATGAATCCAAATTATCAAGAATTTCGTTTTCCACAAATAAAAGCACATCCATGGCATAAGGTTTTATATTTAGAATAATTTAAATATTTCATTTTACAAATAAAATCATGACGTTTTTCTGCTTCATAGGTTTTTCGTAATCGTACACCACCTATGGCAATCGATTTAGTATGTCGATTACTTGATTATACACCAGCAACTCGTTTAACACCACTTGAAGCTTGTGCTCATGCATTTTTTGATGAATTACGTGATCCTGATACACGGTTACCTAATGGACCTCTTCCACCACTTTTTAATTTTAGTCAATATGGTTTGTTAAATAATGTTCTTTAGTGCTTAAACGATTTACTTCGTTTTGTCTTTTAGAACTAAATATTAATTCATCGCTCAATTCACGTTTAATTCCTGCACATTTACAAGGTCAACAAACAGTATCAACTAGTGGTGGTATATCATCAAATTCAACAGTTAATGCTTCAGCAACAAGTATGAGTGGTGGTGGAAATGGTAATACAATCGGAACATCAGTAGTAACATCAAATAATCATGATAAACCTATAACAACAACAAATCGTTCAAATAATAATTCACCACCCTCAACTGTACCAGTAGCAACAACGACATCATCATCCGCAGCAGCAGCAACAACAACAACAACAAACGTTAATGGGCCAGGCGAGAGTGATGCTATGAACAGCCTCGATGAACAGACGGCAACTGGTGGTGATTCAATTAAAAAAGAGCATTCTTAAATAACTTTGTCGTCAAACTATTCTTTCTTTTTTCTTTTTTCTCCTCATTATTGTCGTATATACATGTGTGCGTGCGTGTGTCTATGTATCAGTGGCTTCTTTTAATTCCTTAATTCTTCTTATATATATATGACGAAACAACAAAATCAATGAGAAGAAAAATTATTGTTGCTATACCGATATATACCATCATAGCATGAACAACCTGTTTGTGTGATTAAACAAACGTAAAATCATTCAATCGGCTTTAGTGTGTATCTTCACCGCTGCATCTTTTTCGTTTTTCAACATGCTTTTGTACACTATTCTTCTTTTCTTTTTCCCTACCTCCTGGGACCTGAACTTCCTTTGTGTTTCTGTGTGTATTACTCTCAGTTGTGTTGCTGTTCTATATATAAATATATAAATGTGTGCGCAGGGTGTGTGTGTGTGTGTGTGTGTTGTTCATTTGACCATCGAGAAAAAAAAAGCAAAACAGCTTCACTCTCATATCAACAATCGCGTCATACACACATTTTTTTGTCCTTCAGTTTTTTCTCTTTATCTTTCTCTCTCTTTCTTTCTTTTTTTGGCTTCTTTTTTTTTCTTTTTTCAGCATATACACATCAGAAAAAGTCTGCAGCAAAAATAATGAACCATACGTAATTTTTTTTAAATTAATGAGAGATAAACAAAAAACACTTTGACCTTCGAAAAAAAACGTATATTACAGATTTTATATTTATATATAAGATTGGAGATAAGAAAAAAAAAACAGCAGAGGAAATTTGGTAAAATATAACAAATTATGATAGATATACAAGAATGGTATTGGTTTGGTATTCGTCTTTTTGCTTATTCAACTGTTTTAATTATTATTTTCACTGGCTTAATATGTACATTTGCTATTGGATATTATTGTTTTGTTGTTCGACATCGTTCTCAAAATAAACAAAGGATAAATACCAAACTACAAAGTCGTTCATTTGTTTTTCATACATTGTCATTTCAAATATCTAACAATGAGACTATTGCACTAAGTGTACAAATATCACCATTAGAAAAACAACTTATTGAATTAGCACAATTAAATGGACAACAATATAAAATAAGTTCATTTGACATACAGGATGAACAAGTTGATATCATATTTGCTGAATCAAATAATCATTTGACTATTAAACATGAGTATTTTGAACAAGAGAGGTTAGAAATAATTTTTGTTTGTTGCAATTCCAACAAAAAGAAATTTATATGTTTAAGTTATCAAACAAAACGAGCATATTTTGTACATGAATATACATTTATTTGGTCGAGTCCGAATTATCGAACATGTTTTAATGATAAATTTAATTTAATAGATACAGGATATTGGTATGGTGGAGCTACTCAAAGAACAGTTTATTGGCCTATAAATCAATTTGTAACAAAACGTCAAGCAATGATTCCTCAGGATGCATACAAGTAAAAAATGCCTATTTTCATATTTTGTAAGAGACGATCTCAAAGGAGAGTGTTGAAGTCTAGGGAATAAAAATTTCGTCCTTAATTGTGATGAAAAAATGTATCCCAAAATAGATAGAATGTAAAAATCTTTCTGTGATTAGCAAGAGCAGTTATATTGTGTTTCACATTTCAATTCCGCAGAGATTATGCTAACATGTTTTTATTTTAAATAGAAATATGTTTGGTAATGTTTGTGAACGTTATTGGTTATCATCACTTGGTTTAGCATTATTTGTTGATCCACTTGTACCATTATTTGTTTCCATGAATAAAAAATATCTCGAATTAATATCGGAATATCGAACACCTTATCGACAAAAATCATTTATTAAACATGAATTTCAATATAAAATTTTACAACATGTTAATATACGTGATCTTCATATAACAATGATTAATCGTTATTTAGGTAAGCCAATAGATATACCTGATCATCGTATGATTACTGAACCAATTTGGTCAACATGGGCACAATTTAAACAAGATATTAATACTGAAAAAATACTTAACTATGCTGAAGAAATTGTTAAACGAAATTTTCCACGTTCTCAATTATGTATTGATGATAATTGGACACCACATTATGTAAGTTTGAATATCAATAAAAAGATAAGATTTATTATTTATAAAAAAAAAAAAAAAAAGAATTCTTTTAGGGAACATTAGATTTTGATCGAAATAAATTTTCTGATCCTAAACAAATGATAACAAAATTAAAAAAACTTAATTTTCGTGTTACACTTTGGATTCATCCATTCGTATCTTGTAAATCATTTCAATTTATTGATTATTGGCGTCGTGGTTTATTAATAAATATGAATATATTATCATCTATATTCGATTTAATTCTTGAACATTGTTATTTTCTACAAATTGTCTTTGATGATTTTTTATCTAATCGAAAATTTCAATCTTTAATTAATTTAATTAAATACATTCATCAAAGATATTTTCTATCATTACCGGGTATTTCATTATGGTGGAATGGTCTTGCTGGTATGTTAGATTTTACTAATGATAAAGCACGACAAGAATATACTGTAAATTTACAACGTCTTCAAAAACTTTATGATATAGATAGTTTTAAATTTGATGCTGGTGAAGTTAATTGGTTACCAATATTTAGTTCATTTACAAATTTATCTTGTCAACAAATATCTATAGATAAAACAACATTAGTAACCAATCCAGCACTTCATTCATATTTATATGCACAACTTGCATATCAAATTGATGTAAATAATCGTTTACAAGAGATACGAATTGGTTATCGTACTCAAACATTACCAATATTTGTTAGAATTATTGATAAAGATTCAAAATGGTCATATGATAATGGTCTACGATCATTATTACCAAGTATTTTTAATTTAAGTCTTCTTGGTTATCCATTTATTTTACCTGATATGGTAAGTTTTTAGAAAGATTAGATTTTTAGTATACATACAATATTGATGAATAGTTAGTCCTTCAATGAAAGAATGTTATTATAAACTAATAATAAAGATAATATATTTTACTTCATGTTAGTTAATGAAGCGGAATAGTCTTTCTATTTCCATTAACCTAGAAAAACATTCTAGATCATAGTTTTCTCATGAGAAAAGCTTTTATAGTAGAATTATCTTTTGATTTATAAATAGATAAACATTCTATGATTGTCAGGCGAAACCATATCTGATCGTATCATATCAAAATCTTATCTTCTTATTTTTCTAAAATAACTAAAGAAAAAAAAAGAAGTTTATGCATGACAGTATTTTCTTTTTTTTCGTCCGATGATAATCAGTCTTTGTCACATGCTAGAATAAATGAATGACTGATAAAGATTTTTTTTTGTTTGTTTTTGTGTTCTTCAAAATAGGTAGGCGGGAATGGTTATGGTCTAACAATAACTCGAACTCGTTTACCTCAACGTGAATTATATATACGTTGGCTTCAATTAAATGTTCTTTTACCAGCCATACAATTTTCTTTTCCACCTTGGCTTTATAATGATGAACAAGTTGTTCGTATAGCTCATAAATGTCTTGAAATACGTGAACGTTTTCGTTCAATTTTATTATCAACAGCTGAAGAATGTGTACAATATGGTACACCTATGATTCGACCATTATGGTTTTTTGATCCATATGATATAAATGCCCAAATATGTGATAATGAATATATGTTAGGAAATAATTTACTTATTGCACCTGTACTTGAAGAGAATATTAAAGAATTAAAAATTTATTTACCACAAGGGAAATGGAAATGTATTCATACTGAACAAATTTATGAAGGAAATCAATCATATTCATATTCAGTAACAATTGAAGATATTCCAATTTTTGAACTATATGAAAATTAAATATTTATTTTCTTTCTTTTTTTTTTTTTATACAGTTTATAAAATAAAATAAACTTATCGTTTTAATCGAGGAAAAAAGTATCCAATATTAGTGAACCAAAATATAGAAAAAACACTTTTATGTTTAAATATTTATTTTATTTGTTTTCTTTTGCAATGTTTATAAATTTATGTCCATACGAAATTCAAGAAAAGTATCTTGCTAAAACAATATAAGCTGTATAATGTTTTAGGAAACTCATATAAGGATCGTATAGTTCGACTCATCAGAAATATTCACTTCAAGGTTGGTATATGAAATCATACAGTAGGTTTCCAGATGGTCTTAGAAAACTTGTACAAGATAGATAAGTTTTTCGATCCCAGTATGAAAATTTCTCATGGAAAACTTTTCAAATAAACATTTGTAATATTATACAGAGTTTATATGTCATAATACAACTACATGAGGAGCCGGTAATGGTTAGAAAATATGAATATGTCTTTAAATATGGTATGGCTACCTTCATTAAATTCTGAATTCTGATTGTATTAAATCCGTAAATGTAAGAATGTAGATTCCTGTCTATTTTTTGTTTAGAACAATATAACGTTATTTTTACTTTTATTGTCTAATGTATTTGCACTTAACGAAACAAATACGCTGTAGAACGTAACGAACTTTTTCTTGTTTATCGCGCGTGTAACACGAGAGTACTACTATTTTCTGCTTGCGATAAAGTGAAGTATACGCATGCACGTAACGTGCAAAGTGTGTAGTTTCGTTTTTCTTAACGCAAACAATTCTATTGGATGCGGGAGGAGGGGAGCATTTAGGAGAGCGTACTTCTATCTCACCGGACACGGTGCCGGAAAATAATAAGATACGACTTGGTTTTTGTCGGATTTTAGACTGGATTATGTTGAATCCTACTGGATCTTGCAAATGATAGAAATTAGAAGGTAGCGGATCGTACAAATTATATAGTCCGATTGGGATTTATTCTAACATTAATATCCTAAATCGAATAATGCTGAAAAAGATAAGGTTCAGCCCTTTGGAATTCGATAGTTGGGCTGTATCGAATGCAACTGAATATGATGCTTGAAAAAATTCGAAGATACTCCATATGATCTTTTCCAATGGTGTCTATCGTGGATATGACATTCAGTTGAAGATGGTATTTTCGTTCTTCTTAATGTTTTCGACATATTTCGCGAAGAACTAAATGAAAAGCTAGCAGAAAAAAAGTCGGAAGTTATGATGTTTGAGTGCCGAATACCAGAATTATCGGTCTAAATAAAACTAATTAATTGAACTAACTGATCCAAAACCGCTTTCAATATATATTTGTTGATTTAATCCGGTACACTTACCTAACGTAGTATTTATCTCAAAATATTACGCCAGATCTATTGAAACACTTATGATTAAAGCTAGCAAATGGTATTTAAATGATAATAGGTCATCAGCTATGAAGACACCTACTTTGACCGTGATCTTTTCACAAATGATTGATTCCAGTGAAGACACTCCTCTAAATATGGTTCGACTAGTTACGGCAATCAATCAACCTATCTTGTCTATGATGAAATATCATGAAGTTTAGTTTTACAACGAGTCACAGTGAAGGTACCTAAAGTCTAACAATACAAAGACAGACGGAAGTTCCGAAACCTTGATTAATGACTACTGGAAACCTAGAGACAAATAACAACGACATCAAAAGCTTGAGGGAACTGAAGATAAACTATCTTGTGAGCGGGAACGATAGTGTATCAATGCTAGGAATTTGAAACATTTCCCCATGATGTAGTTTTTCGATAATTTTGTGACATAATAGAATCTACTGATTAAGGATGGTATCGGATCAGTTCAGATATGATAGAGGGTGGGTGTTCGTGAAAAAGACAAGCTTACAGATATATAATAGTTTGTTTCACAAAAACTTAAAGAAGCAGATAAATACATTTTTATTTAAGTATGATTTCTTTTTCTTTTTGGCTTGATGACGACGATGATAGTAACATTAATAACAAAAACAGTGATGACAGTACGAGTACGGCGAAGCAATTTTTTAATTGTACGAGAATTTTTGGTAAAAAAAGAACTGCAATCAAATTATTGGCTTTATGGTTATCTAAATCAGTTGTAAATATCAATAAAAAATCTTTCAGTTGATTGTTTCAATACGGTTTTTCGTTACAAATCTGTAAATCTATACTTTGCTGTTTTTGGTCTACGTATAAAAAGGAAACCAATACTAATAAAACTTATTCAAATCAATGAATAGAGATAAAAAGAAAATTTTCGAACATGAATTCTTAAGATTTTCTCCATTGTTTTACGGGAATAAGTTATGAGAAATAATGATTCCTTTCATATGATGTAATATTTTTTGTTTTAAGATTTCGTCTGGAACATGATCAAATTCTCAGTTTATTATTTTAGATTGTTGATTTATTGAATCATATTAAGCATAAATGAATTGTTTTGAAAACGTAATCACATCGTTTTATGAACTTTGTATCTCAATAAAAGTAAAAGACCTGAATTTTTAGTCAAACTTTCACCTCTGCCATCTAATCAATGGGTGACATCTTTGATATGTCGAGAGGTTCGTAATCTATAATAATGTCGGTCGCTAGCAACCAATTGAGATTGAAGTCATAACTGTCTGTTTATTCTTGCCTACTACATTTTTCAATTCATTTTACCTACTTAGTCAAGTTAACTATGGCTGAAGTTCATATAATTGGACAAATACTTGGTGCAAGTGGATTTCCTGAATCAAGTTTATTTTGTAAATGGAAAGTACAAATGGGAAGTGCATGGCGTGTCTTACAGGGTGATCACGAAGGTCAAACACAAGTTGATGATCCATCAGATGAACCGATGGCTAACTGGTGTCATCCAATCGATCTACATTGTGCTACAAATGGTTTACAAGGTAAATAAAAAGAGAAAAAAAAGTATAAGCATGATTAATGACTTAAGAATGCAAAATAAGACAAAGCTATTTAAAAAAAAAGAATCATTCAACCGTAACGATCATCTATGTATTACGTTAATATTTGATTATATCTATATTGTAGGTTGGCCAAAATTTCATGTAAGTAATCAAACCTACGATTACAATCGATTTATTTTTTGTTACGTTTCCTGTTATTATTATTATTAGTTACAAGTATGGCATCAAGATATGTATGGACGTAATGAATTATATAGTTATGGTTTTTGTCATGTACCAATTAGTCCAGGTTTACATGAAATTGATTGTGTTACATGGAGACCAAAAGGGACTCTCCTTGAAGAACTTAAAACAGAATTTATTGGCGGTAGTTCTCAATTAAAAGTAAGTCTATCATAATCAAGTATATAATATTAGATATGCATATAAAAATAATTGGGTATACTTCGCAGTAAAATTCTAGCATTTTAGCCAAAGCATATATATGAATATTAACAGGTTATATTATTTATTTGATTAGAGAGAAGACAGAAGTTTTGACTATCTCTTTAAATCATAGTAGTGCATTTGAACAGTCGTGAACCTGTTTTCACTAAAGCAAGAACGAGTAAAAAACACCTGTTCGATATTATTTCATAGAGACTTCAAAAGAACTTCTTATTCTGTTGAAATAAACCACTGATAATTTTTTAAAATAAATTTGATTCTATATTTCAGAATCCTGATTTAGTTTCATCAAGTGCTGAACTCTACAAATTACGAACAGTATCAATGGGTAAAATTCATTTACGTTTACATATTATTGTACGTAATTTTGATAAATATGGTGTCGAATTTTGACTTTTTATTGTCGTTGATCAGATTATCTTTTTTTCTTTTGTTTTCTTTTAAATTTGAATGTTACTAATGTGAATATTTATATGTTCAATATCATCCGTCCATTTTTTTTTATTTAAATAATATTCTTCAATTAATGTTGTAGTTGTTCGGGTTTTCTATTTTCCATCATTTATTCATAAGTGTTAAAAGAATGAATAAACAAAAAAACAAGAAAATTTTTTTTTTTTTCTTTTTTAAGAATTGTTTTAGATTAACTGTTTTTTTTTCAATTAAATTACAAAAAAATGGTTGATTCATTTGTGGTATGATTATTCTCTTGTTCTTTTGTTTTTATTTTTCTATTCAATAGTCATTTTCAAAGGAGAATTGTATGGATTCATTTCCATCGTTTAAAACTTTTCATGAAAATAAATATAATCAAGATGCATTTACAATTGATAATAGAGATATTCAAGAAATACAAAGCAATATTCAAACAAATCCAGTAGAAAAAACAAAAAAATCAAAACGAAATAGTGTTACATCGAACAGTACAAAAGTGATAACTATAACACCTACGGTACAATGTGATATTTGTTCTGTATCTATAAGTGGTCCTATTGTTTATGATTCACATATAAAAGGAAAAAAACATCAAGCACAATTAAAAATTTTACTTACTGTAAGACTATTATTCATTTATTTATGATATATCAAAATTTTCTTTTTTATTCAATAGAAAAATCCTCAATATAAAGCGCTAACATATGAAGAACTTTGTTCAATAAAAAAACAAGAATCAACTGTTGTGAATAATGAAAGTGAAAAATTAGAAATATCTTTATCAGAACAAACTATAAATGAAAAACAAAACGTACCACCATTAATACCATCAAAAAAACTTAATTGTAATATGTGTAATATTTCATGTAATAGTCAACAAATGTTTGATAATCATATTGCCGGAAAAAAACATCAAATGAAAATTAAACTTAGTAATGTAAGTTATTATTTGATTATTCTATATCTTAATCATACTTTAGTTTTTGTCAAAGACGAATAATATCTAATGTTGGTTAAATAATTTAACAAAATGTACATTCAGTTTTTAGTCCCTGCAGAAATTGGAAAATCTTACCAAAATACTCACTGTTGACAAAGGACTTGAAGCAAATTAATCATTTTATAGAGAAATCTCTTCTCTTTTTTTCGCTACATTTGACAAAATTTCGGCGTGCTGAAGCTTGTCCTAATCCAATTAATGGGCTTCAAAAAGATTGGTTTATAACTCGTAAAAGTAGAAGTTCTAGAAAAATTTCCAAGCCACATTTGAAAAGAACACAAAATTTTGATACTAAGCCAATGTTTTGAAATTTCTGCTCATATTGGATTCATAAGGAGGTCTTTTCGTAAGACTAAAAACATCCTAAAAAGGTTTGCAACCATGAGTCTCTACAATCCAGTTATGGTCGTTTTACTGGGTTTTTGATAAGATATTTCGCCTATAAACAGATCAAATGAACAGTAGAACATCCTGAAATTTTCAGTCGAAATACAAAATTCAATATCTCAACAAATGAAAATTCTTTTCGACTGAAATTTTCAAGATATTCTACTAGCCATTCAGCTTGTTTATAGGCGAAATTTCAAATAAAAAGAACTTAGTAAAACGGTCATTCATTGGCTATAGAAACTCATCGGGAGAAAATCCTTTTAGGATTCTTTTTTAGCCTTATTAACCTACGAACAAAACAACTTTCCGAAAGTATCTTCATTTAATAATCGTCCTATATATTGTTTCACAAATGAATTAAGTATTTAATATTTTAGTTAAACAATCCTGCCCCACCTCGTATTGTTCCAGATAATAATCCATCATCGTCAAATTATTGTGATGTTTGTTCAATACAATTGAATTCCGAAAATGAATTAACTGATCATCTTGCACAAAAACAACATCAAACACGAGTGAAAGAAGCTGGTCTATTTTTTGTTTTTGTTTTTATTTCGAATGAGTATTTTATTTTTGTGTATTATAGAATTTTGTGCTAAAGAAGGAGCTGATATGAATATTAATTTTGATGATTATAAAATAACAATAACAGATATAGACAAAGATAATTTTGATTATCAATGCACATTATGCAAGAAAAAATTTCGAAATAAAATGCAAGTTATTGAAGTAAGAAGGTGTTTTTTGCTCATACGACTATAACGAATCTTTTCTTTCTTTTTTTGTTAGCATCTTAAAAGTGCGTTTCATAATCGACTTTCTGATCGATCAAAAAAACGAAGTCTTTCAAAAGAATCCAATCGAGGAAATAATCAAGTACATTTTATTTGTCTTTGATATAATTATTATGCATTTATAATCTATTTTTTAAGGCTATACGAGAAAATATTCCACGAAATGATAATGTAACTCGTCGTCAAAAATTTCCTTCATTTCGTGGTTCAAATAAATCTTCAGGAAAATCACGACCATTTCGATCTGAAACATTTTCTCGTAATCAAACATTTCAATCATATGATCAAAATACAAATAATATTTTTGGTGCATTTGATCCAAATAATGAAGTAACATATTCATCTGCTACTACTACTACTACTACTACTAATAATAATAATAATAATTACTATACACCAACAAAACGTTCAATACCATATGAAAAAACTTCAAATGAATATGATGGATTTTTTCCTAAACGTACTCGTACATATAATGATGGCAATGATAATTCACAAGATTATTATTCAACTGATAGAAATTATTATTCATCAACGGCAAATACGAATTATCCATGGAATAATAACAATAATAATAATTATTCATCACAAATCAATAGTTATAATAATCAATCATCAGTATCACAAACTTCATGGCAATATCCAACTGAACCTCAGTATGATCAACAACAACAATATGCAAATAATCCTCCATCAACTTATATTAATTCAATGCGTATGTATTAAAAATTTTTATATAAGACGTTCCATCCTTCAAAATCGATTTTCTCTATAATGCATAGAATTTTCATGGCTTCTAATCTTATCGTTGAGAAGACTTCCAAGAGCTATAGTACAAAAAATTTTTTTTTCAATAAACTTCGAGTTATTCTCATTTGAAAGAGAATGCATCGATCTATTATGCAAAAATTATAATTCCAAGAAAAAAAAAATATGCAAACATATTTTTTGAATACAATAATTTGTTTAAAAGCATATAAATCAATATTTACTGTTCGTATGTGACTGCAGGAGAAATTCAATGTTTTTCGTTGTCTACATATCTCAATCTGTAAAAATGAATCTGATTTAATTACATTTTATACTAACAATAAAAAAAAATTCGGTGTTCTCTTTTGAGTCACTCTGTATTTATCTGAAGAACTTTTTTGCAATGAGCATCAAATTAAAAGTGTCTCTAGAATCTTATCGAAGGATCTTCTAATTACGCCTTGGGCTATGATACGGGGTAGTAACTGCCATTGAATTTATAATTTTCCTTTGGATTTAGATATTAATCTTTCGGTTGAAGAGCTCTAGAAACTCATCATGAATTCTAGAGAAATATTTTTAATTTGAAAGTCATTTTTATGAATATGATAGCCTGATGGACTCTAGAGATAAGCCTTAAGAAAAATAATCATCTTTGTTTTTATATAGATTATCCTGCTAATCAACCACCATTGCCTAATTATGGTAAAACAAGACTTATGAATTAATGAATTAATGAATTTCTTTTTCGTATAGAACCACCACCATTGCCAAGTTATCCGCCACCATCATCTTATACTCGTCCTCAAAGTTCAACTTTTGGTACTACAGGAAATAATAATTTTTTTCCAACTCCATTCGGTCAATAATTCTACATAATTGTTTTTATTTATTGATTTCTTTCGTGTTTTTTTTTTAAATTCCTTTTTATATGTATATAACTCGACAATGGAGTATATATTTGTTTGTTTTCTTTTTGTTTTAAATAGACTAACATAAATATTTTTTATCGTTATAATCTTCCATTTGTTTTGTTTTTTTTCATCGTCGAATAATTTCTCAAATGTCAAAAAACATACGAAGACTGGTGTTGGTTATCTAACATGCATTGAAACTATTATATTTGTTGGTTTTCTTTTTTGTTTGATTTTGTTTTTGCTTACTTTCACTGATGATAAACAAGAATTAGAACACAAAAAAAAAAATTCTTTTCTCAATTACTTTGTTTGATAAGATAAAAAAAAAACACGTCTAGCGAATGGCTACTTATTGTCGATTATATGAGCGTACAAGGTCAATATCAACCTTATTTTATCTTGTCTTTATAATTTAAAAGCAAAATGAAATAAAGAGAGACACCACAAGATAACAATCTTTTCTTATTCTCTTAACATTTTTAGATTATCAACATGAAGTGGACAGAACATGTGGTTGGATATGTTTTTATTGTTGTCAGTTTGTGTTCATATAATTATCAAGTAAAAGCACTTGATAATGGATTACTTCGACAACCACCAATGGTAGAGTTTCTATTCTATGTAAAGAAAATGAAAATTTCTATTCATTTATGATTTTTTTCACCAGGGTTGGTTAACATGGCAACGATTTCGTTGTGTAACTGATTGTCAAGAAGATCCAGATACATGTATTAGGTAAATTCAGATTGAAATTAAAAATACTAAGCTCTCCATCCTCTTGAATAAAAGGTCATGGTCTTCTATGCTGGATTATCTTTTTGCTAACATTTACTCCGAAAATGATGAATTTTTGAAAAATCCTTCTGATATTTAAACAACCATCTCTAGCAATAAGTGCAGGAAAACTAAGATGTCTGCTAAGAAAAATATTTTTTTTTATTGAAGTAGTGTAACGTCAAGTTCAGGATGAAAATTCGATGGTTTCTTTTTACATAAAAGAGAAGATATTTATTATGTATTATAGCTATAGGCGTACCGTGATACGCTGAATCTAATTTTATTTATACATGACCCTCGCCTTATCTTGATTTGCTTTTATCAATGTTACATATTTTTATTAATGTTCGCATATTATTGTTTGTCAATAGAGTTTTACTTAGTTGTTCTTATTCATTTAGTTATAACAAAAAAAAAAGAAATTTATTGAAACAATCAGAAAATTGTTCAAGAATGTTTATAAACACTATAAAATGTCTATTATAACGATTGATCTTTAGTAGGATACTTAATAGATTTATATAACGACTGTAAATGAATACGAACAATTAGACATAAATGAAGTAGATGAAAACGCAGATAATGACATCAATATGAAAGTAAAACCATAAATGAATATAATTCTATTGCATGCAAACAAGTCAGATAATATTTATTGAGTTTAATGATAAGAACAGTAGATAATTACTGAAGATAATAACTTTTCATACTAAAAAAAAAAAAAAAGAACAGTCGTTATCTATATTAGATGATAGAGTCTAAAATTGACAAATTTATGTCACGCTTTTCTCTCTTATATGTTTTTGTTCAGTCTTATCATAAACTTACTTAGATGATCTATTCGTATTGTTATAATATTCTATAACCTATACTATTCTGTAATAAACATCCAAGTATGATAAAATAATATAAATTCGTTTCTCAGGAAGTAATCAAGCAAATGCTAATTCTCACTTCGAATAAGATGCCAAAGTACTATAAATAAAAAAAATATTAATTTTTAACAATGGTATTTTACTAACAGTCCTATGAGACGGAACAAACGGGACTTCGGACTACTCCATCAGACTCTAATTTTAGTCAGAAATCAGGTTTTTAGATGCTAATCTTGTGAGTGACTTTTGAATATAAGATAACCCTTTATTCGGGAAGATTTAGGCTAATTAATTGATTAATTATAGTGAAAAATTAATTCGAACACAAGCTCAATTACTTGTACAAGGTGGATATTTAGCTGCTGGATATGAATATATTATAATTGATGATTGTTGGTTAAGTAATACTCGTGCACCTGTAAAATTTCAATAAAATAAAATGAACATTTTAAATATAAATATATTTATTTAGGATGGTACATTACAACCTGATAGTAAACGTTTTCCAAGTGGAATACGTGCATTAGCTGATTATGTTCATTCATTAGGTTTAAAATTTGGTATTTATGAAGATTATGGTACAGAAACATGTGCTGGTTATCCTGGTATTTTAGGACATTTAGACCAAGATGCTAAAAGTAAATAAAAGATTTAAAGTATTATTTTAGAACAAAAAAAAACAAAAAAAGTTTTATCTTTTTCTAGCATTTGCTAATTGGACAGTTGATTATTTAAAATTAGATGGTTGTAATGCTGATATAAAAGATTTTGATACTGGTTATCCAGATATGGGACGTGCATTAAATGCCACAGGTTTTCCAATTGCATATTCATGTTCATGGCCAGCTTATGATGAATTTTCACAAATAAAACCAAATTATTCAGCTATTGCACAAACATGTAATTTATGGAGAAATTGGGCTGATATTGATGATTCATGGGAAAGTATTTATTCAATAGTACAATGGTTTGGTGATAATCAAGATCGTTTATCACCATTTCATGGTCCAGGACATTGGAATGATCCAGATATGGTTCGAAAGAAAAAAAATACTTTTTTTTTTTTCTTAATATCTATTATGATTAATAATTTTTTATGTTAAAAATAGATTGTTATTGGAAATTTTGGTTTAAGTCCAGGTCAATCACGAGCACAAATGGCACTTTGGTCAATTATGGCTGCACCACTTATACTCTCTGTTGATTTAAGAACAATTAGTAGTTGGGCACGAGATATTATTTTAAATAAAAATTTAATTGCTATTAATCAAGATCCACTTGGAGCTATGGGAAGACGTATTCTTAAGGTAATGAGAAATTGATATTGATTGAAATTTATTTAAAAAATTCTTTTTTTTTTTTCTTATAGTTAGATGATCATGTTGAAGTATGGAGTAAACCATTGATAGATGATCGTGTTGCGGTTTGTTTTTTTTTTTATTTTATAAGATTTTGTTTTTCTACAGTTGTTCTATGTTTATAGTTTGTTGCACTCTATCCTGAACCATATGGAACACCAATTCATTTAAGTGTTAATCTTACAAATCTTGGTTTAATACGATATCAAGATTATAATTTTTTTGAATCATTTTCTGGTGATTTTCTTGGTAGATATCATTATACCGATAAATATAGTTTTACAATTAATCCATCGGGTGATGTACATGCATTTTATGTTGAATCGGCTATACCAAGAAAAAGATTTCCTAAGAATTTATAAAAGAAAAAAAACAATTTAAATTTATATGAACATGCATTTCATTTTATTTTATGACTTTTTTTTTTGTTTTCGTTCTTCTTATATATGCATTAAGTGAAGTTTTACCCGTGGGTCTTTCAAGCGTAATTCATTTGTTCATTTCTTTTTAATAGGTGATGTATTATTTGTGTTTGTTTGTATTTTTTCTTTTGAACTATTTATATAAAACATAGTCGATTGCTGTGTCCTTTTTTTTTAATATTATTTAAATGGAATAAAACATTTTGTGATGAGACTAAGTTTAAGATAAACTCATTTTATTAAAGTTATTAAGATGAAGACTGAAAACATCTTATAATGGGGAACTAAAACTTACTTTGATACTATAGTAGTTTCTTTCAAATTTTAATAATGTTGAGAAAACAAGTAATTCTAAATAAGTCTAAGTAATGCTTGGAAAATTTCGTTCACTATTGTTTAGTTTTTGAATACTTTATGAAAGATATTACCTATGAACTAAATGTAAGAGTTATTAGTCTTCATAGAAAAATAACTACGTAGTATCTTAATAAGGGAGTCGAAGAAGTTCGGAAATATGAAATACGATCGGTCTGCATTTTTGAGTAAATCAAGGGATTTTGAAACATACGCTTTAATTTGCGACTTTCACCATATTGATGTATTCGTGTTGAAAGATATTATTCGTAATGTATCCTAATAAGGTTAGAAAAGAACGAAAGAAGGGTGAAAGACAAGTATCTCAAAATCAATTTTCTTTCATAACAATTCAACAAAAGACTTTATTTCGGTTGCTAACGACCGGATTTCTTTAGCTAGTACCTTCGAAGCTTAATGACTTTTTTTGTCTATAGATAATGCATAGTATTCTAATACAAATCCTAAAAGGATTTCGATTGTATTTTTGAATTTTGATCAAAAACTTTGCACAACTTAACTAGATTAGATTCCATAAAAAAATTCACAAGTTTTGAACTAAGTCTCTTCG